TGTCAATGCAATATGTTACAAAAACCTTATCTCAACACCGACCGATCAGTCATGAAGTATTTGTTCTAAAAGCATTTCTGTGAATAAATTTTTGATGACCTATCTTGATTATCCCACTATCAATGTAGGTTCCAGGAGCACACTTTTCGCTGCAACCGATCCCCAAGTTCCGGAGTACTGTGAAATGTTGAAAGCAGATGAATGGCCAGCTTGTGCCTATCTCTCTCAAGATTGCCGTCCAACAAACCCATCAGAAGAAGCACACAACATTCAAACATCATATCAAGTCTGGGAGAAGACATTAGAGATGGTTGGTCTTCCTTCAGATGCTGTGGAGAGGCTTATAGAAGGAGAACAAGTAAAATGCCGTTATGAGGCCCCACGGGAGTAATTAAATTTGTGCTGTGCTTGACGCTAACTGTCGGTAATATGGGGAACTATATGTGTTTTAATAGAAAGGTGAATGACCAAAAATCATTTTGCCTCAAAATGTTGTCGGGGAACCGAAATTGGTACAAGTTCTAGTTCACTAAATCGGCTAGTTTTTCTTGCTTGGAAACTGTAGGTCAGTGATTCTAAACCAAAAATACTTTTATGTTTCACAGAATTCAAATTATTCTCACTTGTACACTATTTGGTTGAAGTTTTAAAGGAGACAAGGATAGGGAATAAGAATATAACAAATGGCCTATAAAACTTTTGGATGCTTGGGGATCCGATTCGGAAACAAGACTTGTGTGAGGATTCTTTGTTGTTAGGGTGATTGATGCTCGCTGAAAAATAGAGAAATTTTTTTATGGACTTAGGACACCATGTCTTTTATGCTCCATCTAATAAAGTTATATTAATTTGATCAAATAAAATTTTGTTTGTCATCATTTTTAATGACTTTATTTTTATAATAAAATGTTTATTTAATTTTTTTCTTTTTGTTTATCTATTGAATTAATTTATATCTAATATTATTTGAATATCATTGTTTTTTTTTTGTGAAGCATGGATGATACGGTGTATTGAATTCATATAAGAATTTTTATGAAAAACATATGGAGTAAATATGTATTTCATTATATTTGAAAAAAAAAAAAACCAGCGCCAAGTATTCTTGGGCCTCGTTTGGTATGATGGAAGAGTTTTTGATGAAATCGGAATTGGAATTGGAATTGAAATCGGAATTGGAATCAGAATAGAATTGAGTTATAAATGTATGTTTGGTATGAAGATGGAATCTGAATATAATATTAATAAATATATGTATTTAAAATAGATAAAGACCAAAATACCCTTATAAAAAAAAAACTCAACCATCATGATGGAGTGTGTATGTGGGGCACTTATGACAATTCCATGGAATTGTGGCAATTCCATCATGATGAAGATGGAATTGAATTCTAGGTATTTTGGTTGAATTGGAATTCATAAGGAATTGAATTCATGCATACCAAACAAGTGAAAACATGATTCCAATTCCAATTCCAATTTCATTTCTCTTGGACCCAATTCTAATGTACCAAACATGACCTTGAAGAGCTATCCTTGCAAATTTTTTTTCCCCTTAATACCATGGTATGATGTTGTGTACTAATAATTCTCAATATCTGACAAATATTATTGTTAATGTTCCAATAGCAAGCGCGCATGTGTATATACTCCTTTCAGTCTAATTAAATCACATCGATTAAGAAATATGGTTAAAATTAGTTAAGATTCTTCATGTTTTACGAAAAATTCTGTAGAAATCTCAAATTACCCTTAATTAAAATGGTTAACTTTATCCTTAAATCTTAAAATTAAACATGCCACCATGAGGCGAAAATAGACAAGGTCAGGCCAAGTTTTGACAAAACAAGCCTAATTTATTTATATAAATAGGCTTAACTATATGTTTAAGCCCAACATTTTGGTTGATCAAGCCAAGCTAGAACTAGATTTAAACAAGCTACGTCACAGGCCACTGTAGGTTTATTTATCTAATTTAATATTTTAATAAAATTTAATTTAATTAAAGTATAATATATTATATATAGATTTTATTTATATTACAAGGGCAGAAATGATAATTACTCAAGATACATATTTACTCAAGATATTTTTATATTACCATATCAAAAATGACTTGAGCTTGGACTGGATTTGGATCAAGTGAATGATTTAAATACATTCACTTAATAAACGTCTTATAGGATAGGATCATAATGGTTTAATTTAATCGAACAGTTATCAAATATTTTATGATATGATAATACTCTGAAAGTATTAAATTTTAAATTTTTAGAGAAGGTAACGTTAGTAAAAATTGTTCTGATCGTGATAATTGTTTTAAATTTTGAGAGAAAAATATACTTTAATAATCTTTAAGTATTGATAAAATTCAATAGTTATAATTGAGATATTTATTGAATAAGTAAATTTAAATTATTTACCGAATACAAATCTGCTTGATTTCTAACATGAAAATCATGCATGTTGCAAGCTACAAACAAGAAAGTAAGCTCCAGTTCCACATGAGGCTGGAATAGAGAACAATTAGTTATCTACGTGAAGCTTTCCTAAAAATATATAAAATAGTCCATTTCATCGTTCTTTTTAGCGTTGAATTACCAATACTTTCAAGTCCACTTCACCAGCTGTACACAGAAATATAGCTGCAGTTCCTTACATTTACCTGAGTAATTAATTTACGCTGCTTATTTTTACATTTCTCCCATCATATTTCCGTTTTCAATTTTGAACATTCTCTCAGCGGAAAGGTGCTGATATAGATCAACTGAAACTTTATGTCGTGAGATATGGCTTATGCTGTTGCTGGCTTGTTTGTAATATATATGAATGATCTAATGCTTAGCTTGTCTCGGATTGCTGTCCAAGATCCACTGGCATAACATTGTACTTTGATTTTTCCTGTGCTTCTCCTTTTTTTCTATTTTCAAAATTCATGATTATTTATATTTACTCATGTGAAAGTGAAATTACTTTAACTTCCATCTTTAAGCTGTGATTGGAACAAGAGTTGGCCTTTTGATTGCAGCTCATGTTTCGTAGTGTTCTTACAAAGCGACTTTCTGCTGAAGCTGGCATCAGTGTGGTGTGCATGTCACCTGGAATTGTCCAGAGCAATGTTGTGAGTCTTGTTTAAATACGTTTCTCCTACTATATATATGGTTATAAAAAACCCTCTAGAAGCATAGTAACCAATACTTCAATCTGTTTCTGAACAGATTATACGTCATTATGACTTAAGTATAACAGTGTTGTCGCAGAAATTTGAGAGATATAGGGGAGCATAGCAGCTAATATTTTTATTGAACACGATACAGAATATTGCTGATGACTTGTTGCAGAAATTATCACTTTGGGTCAAGTACAATCACTTGCTAGAGTGCTCCAAACAATCTTCAACATTTTGTATCTCACACTTTCAACTATATCTCATGCAGGTGAGGGGTCTTTACGAATTTTCTCTGGCTGCTTATCGTTTGATACCATATTTCATCTTGAACGCTCAAGAAGGTCAGTTCCTGCTCCTTTGTGCTACAAGTCCTCCACAATCATGAATTATCGAAGGACTTATAGACCACAACTTTTGCCTGTGTGTGATAGATCTTTCCAAATTTCTTCTGCCTTGTGCTGTATGTCCTAATGATTCTGAAGTTTTCATCTGCTAGCTCAATCATAATATGAATGAATGCCTATGTAGGTATTGTTCTAAAAACATTTCTGTGAATAAATTTCTGATGCCTTGTCTTTGGTTATCTTATCCACCAACGTGAGCTCCAGGAGCACGGTTTTGGCTGCCACGGATCTCCAAGTTCGAGAGTAGTGTGTGCCTATCTCTTTCCAGACTGCCGTCCAACAAACGCATCAGAAGAAGCACATAACATTCAAACATCATATCAAGTGTCGGAGAAGACATTGGAGATGATTGGTCTGCCTTCAGATGCTGTGGAGAGGCTGATAGAAGGAGAACAAGTAAAATGCTGTTATGGGACCCCACGGGAGTAATTGAATTTGTGCTGTGCTGGATCTTTTTTGTGTCTAGTGGCAGAATTATGATGTGCACTAATAATTCTCAATATTTGAAAATATTATTGCTAATGTCCCCATATATATATATTGATTGTTGTTCCTATGGTTTATTATATATTTTGTGGTTTGTCACTAGAGTAGCCTAGCTCAAATTTGCTTGGACTTCAAGATTTTTAAACAATAAAACATGTGATTCAAACATGTGACATTCTTTTGGTGAATTGAAATTTTATTTTATTTTGTTTTATTTTTTATATGTTGAGATGATTTGAACTTTTGACATTTACTCATCCCACTCCATTCCTACCACCTAAGCTATTTTCGTATTTTTTTTTTTTGGTTAATGCAGTGAAAACTTGTCATTTATCTTATTTTTCAGTATCAAGACTCATTTCATATAAAAATTAGAATTAAAAAAAGAGTTCTATTATGCATATGTTAATGACTTAAATTTTATTTTTATATTAATGCTAAGTGTTTAATCAATTTGAAAATTGATCCATTTATAAAATAAAATAAAATAAAATTTTATTATCAACTCATCAAAAGAATCTATTTCACATATAATAACAAAAAGTCTTCAAATTTAATAGCAAAATTTTAAAAATTATTCTTAACTTTTTCTTATTTCATAATTGGGCTAGACCCTATTAAATTGGGTTTTTCCTTTTTTTTCCCCTTCATTTTCCTTTACTTTCTCAATCTTCACTATTCATTAATTTTATAATTAAAAAATTTATTTAATAAAATCATACGAATGGTGAGGATTGTAGAAATGGAAGAAAAAGAAAGAGATAAAAAAAAGGGAGAGGCCCCACTTCCATTAGAGTTTGGGCTCAACAAAATAAGATATGGGTAGAATTGGGCTGGCAGTTTGAAAGCCCATCATCCAGTGGGCCCCCAATCAGTGCTAGCTCAGGTTCATACGTTAGGCCTTGCGCACACGCCGTCAAATTCAGCTTAGTCTTCAATCTTCATCTTCAATGTTCTGTAATCGGTATCACGCCCAAGAGTTCTCACTAAGGATGAGCGTCTTGTGTGAGGTTATCTTCGGTGCACTCACTCCTAAAGTTACTACGTCATTCTCCAACAGAGATTTCGTTCCTTTCCAAAACCACCTTGTCAATTTGAAAACCTTTTCTTCTGTCTCTTTCCGCCATCGAAAATGGTTTGTGCTCATTTCACAGCCCAGCTCCGTGAAGAAGACGCGTGGCAAGTATAGCGGAGCTGAGTGTTCCACTTCTAGCCAGTGTAATGCTTCAGATGCTTTGGAGGGTGATTTTGTGGTTGTGAATTTTTACCATTTTTTGTACATCAAGGATCCGGAAGCAGAAGTCGCCAAACACCTGGCTTTCATGGAGGTTCCCGCTCATTTTCATTCTTTCTTTGTGTTCACTAGGGACATTTAGTGACGCAGAATTTCAACTTACTATCCATGCATGCATCTATTGATACGCGCATAAATTGGCAATGGTTACTGTTTGTGTTGACGATAAGAGTAGTAACATAAATGATATTCAATATGTTATGTTATACGCCACACTTTTGGATAAGGCTTGTTGTTGTTGTGTGTGTTGCTCTTTTGTAGTTAGTTCCAATTTCCATATTTTCCTCTCCGGTATTAATTATTGGTCTGTCGACAGGGTCTTGACTTAAATGGCAGAATATATTTGAATGAACAAGGTATAAATGCGCAGGTTAGTAAAGTCTTCTTTTTATGGATTGAATATATTTATTCTCCACATGATGCTGGACTTTTTCTCCCCTTTTAAACTGTTATTATTTTCATTTCTACCTTACGTGAGCCAGATTTAGGAGTTGCAAGTAATTCTGTCATGACACATTCGTAAAAAGCGTTCTTATTTTTGCTGACCAGAACATGATAAGCATTAGTTCCAAGTTTTCATGTCTCTTAACATTCCATCAAACTAAACCACTGCAATCTGATGTTAGTTGGGGTTGAGATTCTTGTTTGACATTAATTCTCAGCTAAATAGCCTTCAAAATCATACTGATTGGCATGATGCAGCATTTGTGTGACTCCACTACTGGGTGTAAAAATGTTAAGGATTAGCCACTTCTTTGAAAGCACAACTGTACATAAATACGAATCTACCTAAGACGTTTAAGGGAGATATTCTGGAGAACCTTTATACGCCAATGATAAAGTACAATGTGATTATGTAACTTGAAATAAATAATATTGTCATATTTGCCTCCTGTTGCATCATTATACTTTCTTCATTGATTACATCATTACAAATGTTAACTTCTTGTGTTAGTGGGGTTCAAATTTCAGTACATTTTTTTTAAAAATTACCTAGGAAAAAAATATTATATCTTGCTGCTTAAAAGAGAGGCTGTAATTAAAATAAAAGTTAACTTCACTGGAGCAACTACCAGTGAAATTCAGTGTTCCAGAGTCTAAGTAAAGATTATATGTTTCCTTCTGATATGGTTTATTACTGGATGCAGTATAGTGGACCATCAAAAGATGCTCTGGCATATGTCCAATGGTTAAGACAAGATGAAAAATTTTCTGATATCCTAGTTCAGATTTCTCCATCAGTAAAAGGGCATGCCTTTCCAAGGTTGAAGTTGCGGTACAAGCCTTCACTTGTACAGGCAAGCCGTACGTGTTAGTGCATCAAGTAGTATGTCATAAGTTCTTGTCATCTAGACAAATTAAGTTAGAGCGGATAGTGTTTTATAGTCCCTTGTCTATATTTTCTCTGTCATCTAAGAGTTCATTGAAACTAATTATCATGTTGTAGTTAAGATTTCTGAGCTGTAGCTTTATAACTACCAGTTTCTGTATTATCTACATTTATTGTCTTTATAATGTTTAAGTTGAAGAGTTGTTCGTCTTAAAATGAAACCATCTCCCTGTAACTTTATTTGTACTACAGTTGGAAGGTGGCATATCACATCTTCCTCTTCTTGATCCTTCAATGCGAGCAATGCCTTTAGCGCCATCAGAATGGAGAGATAGATTGGAAGCAATGAATAGGACTGGTCTTACTTCAAAAGAGTGTGCTGACACCAATTACATTCTATTGGATGTGAGAAATGGTAATAGTTCTGTTCTCCCAAAATGCTAGCTTTGTTTTCTTTACCAGGAAGAGCTAGGGACATTATTTGATCTTAGAGGAAGTTCTGTGGCTCATATCTAGCATAGTTTTTGTTTTCACTTTTAGTTAATATTTCTGAAGATCTATTTGTGCACTTGCATTTCTATTTCTAACTTCGATAAACTTTACCACTGCCATAGTTCTTTGTAAAATGAGTATATTATGTATGGTATTCAGGTTATGAGTGGGATATTGGACATTTTCGTGGTGCTTTGCGACCTAATGTGGACTGCTTTAGAACCACTTCATTTGGTTTGTCCCAGGAAGAGGTAAGGCCATTATTTGATGTGTCCATAAAAAACAGTAGGAATTTTTCATGATGCTTGTTCCTATGGTATGTATTTAATATATGTTTGGGGCAGCTGAGACTTCTTACAAATAGGAAGGATAACAACGCATCTTCCGGAATGGGAAACTATAAAAGAAAACAGAGACAAAGAGGCTAAAAATGTGTTAAAGCTGCCTGATCTTTATATATATATATATATATATAACAGAAACTCTCCTTGAACAGCTAAGAGCAAAGCATGAGAGAAATTTAATAAATACAATCCTCTCATAATATATTAGGGTTAAAGATATGCTCTTGAAGATTCAGGCATTAAGCTCCAGCCAACGTGCACTGAGAATTGAAAAGTCAGTCACAAAATTTGGATATAATGCCACTGAAACATGAGCTTAAGTTTTATGGATTATTTTTTAATTCTATTAATCTTTTCTTTATTACAGCATTCTAGCTTTTAACTTTGGTTACCTATTTCAAATATTTTTCTTGTTAAGGGTAGTAAAGAGTTTTACCTAGGTCTTAGGTTAGCATATCATCGGTAACTGAAAAGAAGTTTTGGAAATTGATCTTCCCATTGATGGCTTTTAATATACTCCATTTTTGTGTCTCCAAAGTTAGGTCACTGCTTCAGATCCTTTAGCAAATGCAGATAAAGATAAAACAAATATATTGATGTACTGCACTGGAGGGATTCGTTGTGACATATATTCTACAATATTGAGGTAAGTTACAATGTCATCTTTCTCCTCCTTTTCTCAGGCTGGCAAGAAATACTTCTTCCATTATTGATATGTGGTTTGTTTTCAACAGACAATACAATGCACTCTACAATGTATTCTTCCGGTCTTCTTTATAAGTCATTTCCACCAACTTTATCAATACCAATATAAAGAAAGTACAAAGAATAACAGCATATAAAATTTTAAATATACCCCTATATAATAAATTCAAAAAATGATGTCATATTACTTTTTCTTTTTCATGAAGGATAATTTTGGAAATACATTTCAAATATTATTTAAAAAGCCGCATTGTGACTTATAAATGGGACTAAATAGACCTTATAGAATGTGCCTTATAAATAGGACTGGAGGAGTATTCATTGAACAACCACAAAAGTTACCATTAGCTTAAAAACTAGTGTAGCTAGAAAGGGAGAATGATAATTAAGGGCTCGTTTGGCAACTTGTTTTGGAAACAGTTTTCTATTTTTTATAACAAAAAAAAAACAAAAAAAATCTATTTGGTAACGTGTTTTCAAAAAATATTTTGAAGAACAACAAAACAAAATAATTTTTTTGGAGAACAGAAAAATGAAAACATCTTTTAAGTATTTTGAAATTATTGTTCTCGAAAATAAGGTAGAATGAAAAAAATACCTATTTTTATTATTTTTTGTTCTCAAAATATGTTCTAAAAGACCTTGCTTCTAATTGTAAATAATTAAATATAGACATTTGAGTTGTAAATTTCAAAATTTTAGTTGCGAGCAGGTCTTGGTTTTGTATTAATTCCATTTGAAGTCCCTTAGTTGTCATTCTCCCTACTAAGGGAGAAATTAGAGATAGGGACTCATCACATACTTCTAGGAATTGAGTAGCGCTGCTTAATCCTTTCTTAGGCAGTTTTTTTTTTTTAACCAACCTTAGGCAGTTGAAGTCATAAGAATTAGTTATCTAGCTAAGGATGTGAGTAGGTGTATAAGACGCAAGTCTATTATATTATATGAAGCTCAAATACACTTCCAACCTCCGGCTCTTCAAATTCTTATTGCTTTGTGCATGTACTGAGGTGGATGGTGTGTATGTGAGAGAGAGAGAGAGAGAGGGAGAGAGAGGGAGAGAGATGTGGGGAGAAGGATTACTCTGGCACAGGCAGCCTCACTCCCCCTGCTTGCATGGCAGGTGATCATTCTCCTCTTTATGAAAGGAAACAATTGACTAATGGAGCTGGAACCTTGGATAGAAATCTGAGACCTTCATTTTTTTTTTCCCGGTGATACTAATTTTGATGAATTGGTTTGGTGCATATGCTAGAAAGCAGGGCTTTCGGAATTTGTATACCTTGAAGGGAGGTGTTTCTAACTATTTAAAGAATGAAGGTCCTGCGGAATGGGTGGGAAATCTATTTGTGTTCGACTCTCGTCTGTCTCTGCCTCCTTCTTCATATTATCCTGGAGCCACAATTGAAACAGACATGTTTGCAAAATGCTACATATGTGGTTCTCAAGTCAGTGAATTGAGGCATAGGAACTGTGCAAATCTTGACTGCAATTTGCTTTTCCTGTAAGATTCTCATTTGCATGCTTCCTTGCTTCACACAGGCAGCCTGCCTCTGTTGGCTCTGGCATTTTAAATTTGGTTCAAATCTTGTGTTACAGGTGCTGCAGAAAATGTGTGGATGATGTAAGGGGATGCTGTTGTTGGAGTTGCACAAAAGCTCCTAGAATTAGGCCTGTTTTAGATGGAGGTCAGAGATACAAAAAATGGCACATCTATCGTGATATAGATGTGCAGAGCAAGATAACAACTTGAGCATCAATAAAATAGACCTTTGTTTTCATCACAAATGTTGGTATCTTATGTTGGTAGTGTAATTACAACTGACTAAACTTTAATGTATTTTCTTTACATTTGTATTGTAAGAGTGCTTTGGCAGGGAAATGGAATGGAATTTTGCTGAAGTGAGAATAGAGGCAAGGTTCAATTTTACCCCCAAATAAAAAAAAATGTTAGAATTCGCACTTCACGAATCCTCTAATTTCAGATCTGTGTCCGAGAGAATGGAGATGTCGACTAGGTGCCCACTTGAGGAACGAAATAATTGTCATATTAACATGATAATAACACTTTAAGAAGAAAATACTATGAAGACAAATTTCTAAAAGTAATTTAAAAAAATAATTAAGAGTTTTTCCTCTTGATATGCTTTCTTTCTAATCTTCTTACGTAAACCACGGGTTAAATATTTATCAAATTTAAGCCACCGCTCAACAAAACTAGATGTTTGTTATCCAAAACAAACAGGAGAAGCAATATCAAGTAAACCTTAAAAAAGGATCCTAGCACTGAATTGTAAAGATCAAGCAAATGCAGAAAGATCCATGGCTCAGATAGTTCCGGGGCCTACCAAATGTAGTCTGTCATCTGGTCACAGCAGCCTAATTTTTGCTAAATACAATATATTGAAGTTTACAACACAATAGCTCATCCAAATATAATGCAAAATATCAATTAACCCCTTCAAGGACAGCTTCAGAAGGACCATAAGTTAGTTACATGCTCAACTGCTCTATCGCACCAACGCCTGCAAACAAACAATTCTCGTGCGTTAACCAGATGACTAAAGGTAACAGGTACTGCCACAGTTACCATTTCACAAAAATGAACAAGTACAGATGTACAAACCAAAAAGTAGCCTAAATGCTGTCAAATGGAAGAGTAGCCAATATAAGGCCGGTAATTCAAAGAGGATAAACAATGAATGGTATTACTAGTGATATTAGCTTGTAATGATGTAATCCCACTGTTACATAACATTAAATATCCATACAGATATTTAGCATCCATCCAACTGGAGATATGCAGGGCGAGTAGCCTAAGAATGCGGCAGACCCCAAAGAGGTCAAAATTTGGCCTCCAAAGCCAGTTTCAAGTAATTCTCCAAAAAGCAGCCCCTTGCCCTGCCTTTCTATATCCCTATCTCTGAAATTAGCTGAGAAGATAGCTAAAAAGAATCTCCACTGCACAAGAAAAAGGCAAGCCCAAACGGATATTAATAGCCAATTTCAAGCACGTGCATCAGAAATGGGTAAAGATTAAAAGTCCTTACATGCAGAGATTTGTTCACTTTCCTGAACTACCCATAAACAACCCCCAATTATTTTAATAAAAAAAGAAAAACTAAAAAAGAAATCTTTCTCTTTCTCTATAATTTTCCAGTGAATTGTTGGTGAAGAGTAAAGTGAGAATATCTGTTAAGTAGCACAAAAATATTGATGTCAAGCATCCAAAATACAACACATACTGATGTTCAACCAATATAAGACATGCTAAACTTATAATGCCTCAAAACTGTCCTGCTCTTCGTTTTCATCAACATCAATGAGACGAGAAAGGTTAGGAAGAGTGCTCTGACTCCTATGCAGCTTAGCATGTCCTAAATTCTTTTCCTTGGAAAGCAGGACAATTAAGTCAATAGAACATCAAAACTCAAAGACTTCTTGTTTTTTATAAACGATTTGCTAGTAGCAAAGGAATGAGGAAATATAATCCATAAGTTTAACTTCCAAGACTCGCCACCAATGAATGGCTCCCATCTCTCGAGAGATTCAGAAGCCTCACAGTCTCAAGATATAAAACATATGAGATCCCTGAGCAAGATTCCAGGTTGTATAAAAACAAAAGAGAAACCCCTATGCCTTCACCATTCAAGCAAAACCAGCTCGGAAGACAAGTTCAATCATGCTCATAAATTAATATTGAAGTAAGCATGTTTTCATTGCCCTGCATATAACTAGCATCTAACCTACAATCTTATATTTTTGCTAAAGCTTGTCTTAAGAAGAATCGCATAGACAGCCACATCCCTAGCTAACAAAATTCCTTTCTATCACAAAAATACCTAACAGACAAGATCATTGAGGAATTCAACCGCCCTAATCCCCGAAAAATAAGTGTCTCTTCTATGAAATCACCATCATCTAAAGGCAATCGTATTGTGTAGCATACAAAAATTCGAAAACAGTGATCAATTACGTGACAAAACCCTCATTCCTCCAACATAAACCCTTGCTAAGCTTAGAAAGTACCTATTTTCCTTCATTTCTGCAGAGAAGTATTCGTATCAAAACATTCTACAACCCTAGAGTAAATAAAGCCAGGGATAATTAAATTAGAGGAAGAACATATTAACTTCATAATACAAACTTCAGAACTATCACTAAAATCTCAATTTAACGGAAATCAATATGATGAAACGAACCTGAACAAGAAGGGATCAAGACTTTGAAGATGGGCGGAACACTGAAGGGACAACAATTATTTACAATAACGATCAGCTTTCTTCTTGACACGATCATCAAGGGCTTCCTCGATGGACTTGAAATTGGTTTTGGATTGGTAGCCAAACTTCTTGGCCTCAACCGGGAACAGCTCCTCGTACTTCATTTTCTTCGCGGCGTCGATCGTGTAGGACTCTCCTGGCACTCCTTCTCCACCGTCTGCAGCGGAGGCCTCCGCCTCGTGCTCGAGGTTCGAAGGGTCGATTTCACCGTCGGTGGGACCGTCGCTATGCTTGTTCTTCTTCTTCTTTTTCTTCTTGTCGATGGCTTTGCTGCGCGTGGCGAGGGTTCCTCCTTTGAAGCTCAATCTCCCTCCTTTCACTCGTTCATACGGATCCGACATACTGTACAACGCCAATCTCTCGAGATTGTTCGCTTCTCTATCTTGCTTCTCTGCTTAGGTTCTTTCTGATGCTTTTTGTTGAAATCGGGAAAGCCTGTGCTATCTCCAGAATAAGAACACGATCGTCTTTTTTCTCACCCTTTGCAAAGAAGCCCCTCACCTTTCTCCTTATTTATAATTAATGGCTCTCTTCCCTGGTCCTATATTGAAATTGTCTCAAATAAATTTTTGCCCTCGTTCAGCTTCAGCATTTGTTTAAATATGGGGAAACATGGCTGCCTCAGCGGTCGGCTTGTCTCCACTGACTTCTTTCTCCATTTCCTCTCCATTTCGTTAAAACACAGCGTTTCACTTATTGAAAAAAAAATCTGGCCATTCACTTTCTTTAGCTTTCTAAGTGAAAATTACCCATCATTATAACTTCATTTCAGGTTGCATATGTTTCTCCAACAGGGCGGGAAATTCCTCAATTTGCCTCCAAAACCAAGAACTTTACAAGTGCTGTGCGATCAAGAAGAGATAGTCGACGAGCATGCTTATTGGTTTCATCACTTTGCTAATTATTTCTTCTTTGGCTCTATACACATGCATAGATGCTTCCTTAAGTTATATATGTCAATTGCTTTAATTCTGTTTTTAATACTTCATTTAAATGGTGCTGGTTTTCATAGTTTGCTCTTAATATACATTACAAATCAAAAGACTAAAATAGTTAATTGCATATGCTTATACGAAGAATAGGATAAATTGAAAGCTGCATGACATCAATGGAAGAACAATGAGGGGAGAAAGGTGAGAGAGATACGTAAAGCATAGGACAGGGTTCAACAAAACCTTCGGGTAGCGTGAGTGGGATGTTTAAATTGAAGTCTTTTTGGTCAGGATTTAGTGACACAATTCCAATGACAAGACTCTTGTTCTTAGGCCTCTGATTTAATCCTTGCATTACATGGTACATCAGTATCCAGTTAGATAAATAAGAAGAGTAGGAATCTATATATGTTGCTTTTGTGTGGCTTGGAATGTACTACTCAAGTATGTGATATTCTTCTTTCTTATTATTTATATAAACTTCTGTTAAATTATTTTACAAGTTTTAGTGTAATATTTGTGCATAAGATTTATATTTACAATCAATTTAAATTGGGTGTATACTTGTCTAGTTTTCAGGCTTATATGATGGATATAAATTTAACTCCTAGACTTAATCTTGAATTTGACAACATAGAAGACTCATGGAAATTTTGGCAAGATTGTGGAAGGAGAACAGGTTTTGGTGTTCGCAAAGAGAGATTTAATAAAAGTAAAAAGGATCAGTCATATTTAAGTTATCTATATGTTTGTCGTAAAAAAGGGGTGCGAAAACCCGACAAACGAGACAAATACACTAAGAATCCTAGACCTGAGACAAGATCAGGTTGCCAAGCTAGAATGAAAGTTGTATAAGTAAATGGAAAATACAAAATAAGTGAAGTTTTTCTTGATCATAATCATGACCTCCAGCCCCCTGAAGCTGTCCACATGTTTCCATCATTTCGTGAACTAACATCGGCTCAAGCTTTTGAATTAGAAACTGCTGAAAAAGATGGGATTAATCAAAAGTCATCATTTAAGTTGATGAGTGAATATGCAGGAGGAAGAACCAATTTGGGATATACAAGAACTGATATAAAGAATTATCTTAATTCAAAAAGACAACGAGCTATGTCATATGGTGAAGCTGGATGTATTTTTCGTTACTTTGAAGAACAATTGGTGAAAAATTCATCTTTTTTTCATGCTCATCAAATGGACTTAGAGGAGCAAGTTACAAATGTGTTCTGGGCAGATGCACGAATGTTAATTGACTATGCTTACTTTGGAGAAGTCATTTCACTTGATACAACTTATTACACAAATCGAGATAATAGACCTCTTGCTATTTTCTCTGGCATTAACCATTATAGAGGAGGGGTAATATTTGGAGCCGCATTGTTATACGATGAGACCATTGAGTCTTTCAAATGGCTCTTTGAGATTTTTTTGCGGGCACACAAGAATGTGAGGCCATTAACTATTTTCACTGATCAGGATGCTACAATGGCACATGCATTACAGGAAGTGATGCCAGAAGTAAAACATGCCTTGTGTATATGGCATATTTCAAGGAATGCAATGAAGCACCTTAATAACTCAACAAAGGATGGATCCCATATTATGTCTGATTTCAACCATTGCATGTATCATTGTTGGAATGAAACAGAGTTTGAGGAAGCTTGGCAAGAATTATTATCAAGACATAGCATGAAAGAAAATGCTTGGTTGATATCTATGTACCAAATAAAAGAGAAATGGGCAGCATGTTATATTAAGGGGTCAATGATGCTTGGTATAAGAAGCACTCAAATTAGTGAAAGTATTAATTCTTGTGTAAAAAGTTGCACACATCCAAAAAATGATATTAATCAATTCTTTCAGAAATTTGAATAAGCTGTAGAGGATAAGCATTACACGGAGTTGGAACGTGAATTTGATACACGTGATAAGTTGCTAAGGTTGATATTGCAGAATTCATGTATGCTTCGTCAGCTTTCTAAAATCTACACTTGACCAATTTTTGACTTGTTCCAGTTCCAATATGATTTACGTGATGCTGCATGTATAAAAAGAGAAAAGAAAGGAAGACAAATGAAGATGAAGAGAATTGTGCCACCTTGTTTGATTATGTAATCACCATGGTTAATAAGAGAGGAGTGTATAGTTTGACATTTGATCCGTTAATTGAGACAATTACTTGCAGTTGTAAAAAGTTTGAACGAGTGGGCATGTTATGTTGTCATGCATTAAGAGTCTTGTATGATCGTGATGTCAAGTTACTTCCAAAAAAATATATAACAAAGAGGTGGACGAGAGAAGCACGAAGTGGTGTAGTGTATGATTTGAAGGGAAAGCAGATTGAAGCCAATCCTAAACTAGAAAGGTCAAGATAATATAGGCAATTGTGCCCTATGGTTGTTAAGTTAGCCAGTGATGCATCAGAAAGTCTCGAAGCATTCTCTCTAGTTCATGAAGGCATATTGGAACTTACTAAGAGAGTGGATGAGCTTTGCATAAAGCAAAAAGATACTGATGGTGATGGGGATGGTGAAAGGAATCATAAGAGTAACTATGTTGATAGAGGTAATGGTGGTAATAGTAAAGTAATTGGCTTTAAAAAGAGAGATGGTAGAAAAAGCAAAAAAAAAACTTAGAAGTTGTGTGTAGGAATCAAGTCAGAAAAGACGAAGAATTCAAGCCTCAAAACAATCTTTACAAGCTTCTAAAAAATCTTTATCATTAGTCATTGCCTCTAAAAAAGATTCAAATGTATGCATTTTATTAATTTTTTTCTTTCTTTCTATGTTTTTTTTTTGCCTAAGATGCTTGACAAGTAATCATTATTTCTTTTCCAACTACAGCAAGGTCAAGTACATCATGATCCAATGATGTTAGATATGCTTGAAGAAGATACCTCATCGATTAAAGTACAACATGATCATATGTTGTTAGATACACCTGAACCAAGTTAAATAACTTTTACCAATGTATTGATGGTAATCATATATTCCAAACTATTTTGTTAATATCTAACATGCAATATTAAATCATTTTGTCTCTTTTCTTGAATATAGGCACCACTTGATTGTGACATGACATCACTTGAAGCACTTCAAATCAGCCAAGCATTTACAAATGGTAAGTCATTAAATTTCAAGGAAAAACTGAGTCACTTTTATTTAAATCAATATAACTTTTTACACTTTATAGTACAATACAATATCTATTTATACTGTTGAGGTAAATATAAGTTCAGATATGAATGTAGATCATGCTAAATGAAGTCATCCAATTTAACTCTTTTCATTCTAGCTGCTTCATTTGAACTACTTTTGTCACAGGTTCTGCTTGATATACTTGGGGTAATTGTGTAGCATTTACTATACTTGAGTTCTCTTTTTGGTCATGGTAGCTCTTGAGATGATTGTATAGCATTCACTCTTCTTGTGCTACTCTCCTGTTGGTCATAGTAGCTTTTGGGATGATTGTATAGCATTTACTATTCTTGAATTGCTCTCTTTTTGATAACAGTAGCTCTTGGGATGATTATGTAGATGATTTTAGTTGCCACTTTCTGTTTGGCCTGCAATTATAAAGTTGACAGTGTAAAGTTGTCATCACTGTCTATTAAAATGTATTAATGCAAATGTGCAAATATGAAATCTTGAATAGTCTCCATTTATGCATTTCCTCTATCTAACTTTATGCCTTAGTTGTTATTTGCTAGAATGAAATTTCATGATTGCAATCATCAATTCTTGAACTGGTGATTACAACTTTTTTAATAAAAATGGATACTATCAATAATCAAAATTTATAAGAAGAAATGCAAAAGTTCATATGCACAATGATATAACATGCATTCAGAAAGAGCATTGCAAACTCATCATCATGGTACTAACAGTATCAATAAGATTATCATAAGCCTCAGCCATCTTTGTCCAACTCTATAATTCAAGAAGCATAGCAATGCTGGAAAAAAAACATTACAATGAAATAAATTAGCACTGTCTGCCATCAAATTAATATCCCAAAGAAAAGAAAGCCTTGGTTTTCATAGTCAATGTAGTTATTAAGCATAAATCTTGCATAAGATACCATAGTATAATCAACCATAATCACAACTATAGATATATCTCATGCTAGTTAACCAATGAGATGTCAGACAAGGATATATTGTTTTGGCTTTCAGATCACTAGACAAAAAGGGTAAAGCAAGACTCACTTGAGTAGGTCAAGTAGCCTTAGAATTGAATGGTGTGCATTTGGTTCTAAAAATATCAGCCCATCATAAAGGAGATAATCAAATGATATATACATAATGCTGCCAAGAGTTATTATAACCCAAAAAGAAAAAAAAATTGTTTTGAGAAAGCCTACCCTAAGTAAGAGAGGAATGTGCAAATGTTTGGGACATCATAAATATTCATAATATTATCAATCTGTGGAGACCATAAAAAAACTCTAAGATCAATAACTTCATTTTAAGGCAAAGATAAGATCAATATCTAAGAAAATGAATCCTACTTGGCAAATGGTAGAACTCCGAGCACCAAGCTAATTTCACCAACAACTTATCAAAACATGAAAAAACTGTGAGAAATAGTCCTTCATACTCTCCAAAAGAGGCTGTCACATTCAGTATCAAAATATTGCACTTACTATAGACATAATTGCCAAACTAAAGGATGCATTTCAAAAGCACAAAAAACTCTACACCAGTTCTTCTAACAAGAAAAATGAGTATAAGGAATTAAAATATATCATTGCAGTCTGATGAAAGAATTGAAGAGGCAATGAGAATTTTTGACAAACAAGATTGAGTCATCTTCTAATCCTTTTCCAATCTACATATGTGCACTAATTTTGAAGAGCAAGTAAAAAGGTCTGTACATGCATATAGAAGTTTTATTTTGTAGTCACCTAGTTTATTTCACTGCACAAATCTCAAAACCAATAGCCTTTATTCAACTATCAACAATGAATAAACATTAATATTTTATTCTACACATAATGTCCTCAAATCCCACCAGATCACAAAATCCCAAAAAAGACAAAGCCCTTTTTTTACTTTTTAATTTTGTTTTCTACCCTTAACAACTCATCAGCTAACAATGCCTACCTCAAGTTTGATCTGTCGGATATCATGTATGGTGGAGGAGATTTTCCAGTAGAGAAGGCAGCCCATACAGAAGAAAAGAAGAAAGAATAGAACAATCAAGACAACACGGAAAGCAATCCTCGATGTAGATGACACCATGAAATTGTTCTATTTCAGTCTCTTGTTCTTGTTCGACTCAGCTTCAAAAAAACCTGCAACCTGATTACCTAAAATGAGAGCAAATGGAGAAAGAAGTCGGTGGAGACAAGCTTGCAATCTACGACTAAGTTCTACTTGGAAAACTGAAGAAGCAAACTGCCTATATTTTTTTTTTCAATAAGTGAAACGCTGCGTTTTAACGAAATGGAGAGGAAATGGAGAAAGAAGTCAGTGGAGACAAGCCGACCCTGCCTCAGCCTCGTTGATTGAGTTGGAGAAGGGGGTTACTAAAAAAGATGTGACAATTGCAGTTAATAGCCCACAGCAAAGTGTATTTACGATTTTATTCTCTATTCCAAACATCTAAGGATTTAAAATTTAAAATTATTGTTATTTTTTTCAAAAGACTAACATAGATAAAATTATTGTGTAAGGAAAATAAATAATTGATATATGAAAAATGAATAACTAACGTAGATAAAATTTGCAACTCTTATTAAAATTAGGGTTGTATATAGGCAGGGTTGGGCTGGGCAGTCCCCTTGCCTGTTGCCCAACCTTAAACCTCCTTCGGCCACAACATTAAGCTCAATGCTTACCCATGCTTGAAAAATGCTCGAAGTTAGAAGGGCTGAGTAGGCAGGGTCAGGCAACTCGGGCAGATTCGGGCTGAGATGCCCAATCTGGCCCCTTAAAATTTTTCTAGAATTAATTATAAAATAAACTAAAAAGCATTCAACATTCATCAAATACATAATTATTCCAACCAGTAATTAAGCCCCATGCAAACATGAACTACGACTCAACAAACACACAAGTAATACATAAATAGTAATGAAGCAAACATAAATTATCCAATCCTCTTGTCCTCCCTTCAATCAAGCATCATTGGTCATAATATCATATTGTTCTCCCTCAATGATAGTTGAAGCATCTGAAAAAAAAATAAGAATCAAATTAGAAAGGTTTTTATAATCTAGAAATTAAGGGGAAACAAAAATATAAAGAAAGCATTACCAAATTGAATAATATTATCTGTCTCCTCAAAGTTATCAAAGTCACGTAGCTTATTAGCCAACTTTAATAGAGATTGTCCAGGAAGCAGCCAATTTTGAGCACAGATAAGTGCTTCAATCATTCAAGGAGATAATGAGCTCCTATATTAATCAACTATACGCCCTCCAATACTAAAAGTAGATTCAAAAGCAATTGTTGATATAGGAATGGCTAACACATCACGTGCCATCATAGATAGCATTTTGTATTTAGTGGTATTTGCTTTTCACCATGACAAAATATCAAAATCATTACAAGGGGGAATCATCTCATTAGCTAATTTAGTTTTTAGATATTTTTCCAACTCTGTTTGAGGGTCATCAGGCATTTGCTTTTGGGTTTCTAAACATTCAAGACCTAGGTCGTCATCATCATCATCAACAATTTGTCTACCCACCTTAGATGTTCTAGATGAAGAGGGGGTGACACTAAATTGAGAAGATAGGTTTGCAGAGTACTCTTCAAAGAGATGATATAGGCACAGATTGGCTTTCAAGGCTTCACATATTTGATGATTGTAATAAATCTTATAAAAAATGTGATTCACAGCAACTACCAACAAAAAATTCATGTTATCTGTGTCTCCCCAATATTTATCATACTTTATCTGCATGCTCATGCTCATGTCTCCTAAGAGAGGATCAAAATTGACATATATATATATATATATATATATATATATTTGCAACAAAGGCCTAACACATGGAATTTGGTGGAAGCATGCGTGGGATGTCAATATTATGGCTTTTTTAATGGAACTGAAGTCTGAAATGGACTGAGGTTACAATTGACGAACTTAATATGCAATTTATTGCTAGTAATGAAGAAATATTTGTGTGATAAATTTATGAGCAGCGAATTTGAGATATATATTTCAACAAAGAAGAACGAAATTCATTCCGTTAAGTACTGGGTCAAAATATGCTGTGGCCTTATATTAAAATATATACATATATATATATACATGCTGTGTTAGGCTCTAGTAATTTTTAAATTAGGTTTTAGCATGGAGGTTAAGGCTTTCTTGTAAGTCATGTTGGTTAAATGTTCTCCTAAACCTAATACCCGGACCTTGCGGCTTCTTCTGTTGGTTGTGGTGAGAATGAAATTATGAAAATCTCTTTAAATGTCGAATACATACGAGCCTTGCTTTTGAAATGTTTTCTTTTCTTGGTAAGGCATTCGTGTTTATGAAGTGAATAAAAAGGATTTCATATTCGCATAAAAGTTCACAAAATTTAGGATGTATTCATTATTTTAAACAATCTTTTCCTTTGTTAAATCAGTAACAATACATTGAGGCTGTGTTTGGTTATGAAAACTTTCTATTTTCGAAGTGATAGCTGATCCGCTGCTATCTATAATAATGGTCATTATTAGGTGTAAATATTACTCCATCCGTTTTTTATTTGTAACAGAAAAACATTATATTGCATAATTTAAGAAAATTAATTAACTATATTAATTATGTTTGAAAATAAAAGAATTAGATTACAATATCATTTAGTAATTGTGTTAATTAAGTCTCTGTTAATTGTTTCTTTATTAAATTATGATGGATAATTTAAAAAGTTTGCAATAAATGCTTATTAAAAAATATGATTTTGTTTATATAAAAAAATAGATTGAAAATAATAGTTTTTTTTATAAATAAAAATAGAGGGAGTATTAAGTTCTATGCTAAGCAGTGTAATAAATCAGATAGAAATTCAACGTGTTGGAGTATGGAGACCGGAGATGTCTTTCTTCTCATTCGAGACCACGTAAGAGCTTTTGTTTTCGTGATTTGTCTATGGTTACCAAACGCTATCTCCTGTGAATCGATCCAAATAAATGGGTAGGACTTGATTAAGAAACTGATAAGGAACGAAGTTGGAACCTATTAATATTAATGATGAATATTTTCTCTTTGAAGCACAAACCGATGTTCGCGAGTGAAATTAAAATGAGAGCAAAGTTTCACGTTTTTTTTTTTAAACATTATAGCTTTATTTTATATCATGCATGCATGTATGTATGCATGAAAAATACTTTTT